GGCGGCGGGCTCAGGCCTGGCCGCCTACATCGCGTGGGCGCTGCTGCTGCAGCCTGGCTTCCGCCGCGTGCCGCTGCGGCTGCAGGTGAGGGGCGGGGCCATGGCTGGGGGCGGGGTCCGGGGGCGGAGCCGAACCCGCAGTGAGTGGGAGGCGCTGCCTCTCCCTGGCGGGCCGCGGGTGGGGACCTTGAAAAGCTCAGGAGGCAAGCTCTGCGCGTCTCACCCGCCTCCCCCTCCCCACGTGGGATCAGGTTTGGGGACCCAGCCCCGCTTGCCTCCTTGCCCAGGTGCCCTATGTCGGTGCAAGTGAGCGGCAGGTGGAGCACGTGTTGTCGCTATTGCGAGGCCGTCCTGGAAAGACGGTGGACCTGGGCTCTGGCGACGGCAGGATTGTAAGGAGTGGGATGCGGGGGGGTGTCCTTGTCTCCCCCTCTCGCCAGCGCACCTCCCCACCTTCTGGACCCACAGTTGCGTGTGCCCACAGGTGCTGGCTGCTCATAAGTGCGGTCTCCGCCCGGCTGTGGGCTACGAGCTGAACCCGTGGCTAGTGGGGCTGGCCCGGCTGCACGCGTGGAGAGCAGGCTGTGCCGGCAGTGTTTGCTACCTGCGTGAGGACCTCTGGAAGGTAACCCAGGGAGTCCCGGACCCCCAGGGGCCCCCACTCCTGGTCTCCACACTTCCAGCTCTGGGTTGGCCAACCTGCTGACAACCCCGGGTTCCCCTGCCTGCACCCGCGTGGGCTGGGGCCAGGACTTGGAAGCCACAGTTACCCCAAGCTCACCACACCTCTTCCTCGGCTGGGGCCCCGCTCCCTGCTGGGGTGACCTCTTCTTGCAGGTGAGCCTGAGGGACTGCCACAACGTGTCTGTGTTCCTGGCCCCTAGCGTGGTAGGTCTGGGGTTTGCTAGCCCCAGGGGAGGCCCGGGCCACCCTCAGTGGAGGGGTTGGGCCTGGAGTAGCTGGGCAGGGGCAGTTGTATTCAATCTTGCCCACCCTGTCCTCCCTCCTGCTCTCTCTCCCACAGCTCCCCCTGCTGGAAGACAAGCTGCGGGCAGAGTTGCCCGCAGGGGCCCGAGTGGTGTC